GAACCATTCTGGAGGACCATGTGCACCCAAACATTGCATCCTAAAGGCGGTCCCATGCAGAGTGTTAATACACCAATACACACAGCAAGACTGGTGACAGAGTAGTTTTGTGAACATGAAAGTGGAGTTGAACATCTGCGATGGCCTGCACAGTCATCCGATCTAAATACTATTGAGTCACTTTGGGTTTTTTTGAAGGAGCGAGTTAGGAAATGTGTTCCTCCACCAGCATCATGTAGTGACCTGGCCACTATTCTGCAAGAATGGCTCAAAATCATTCTGGATACTGTGCAGGACTTGTAATCTATCATTCCCATGACCAATTGATGCTGTATTGGTCGCAAAAGTAGGCCCTACACCATACTAATTAATGTGGTCTTAAATCAGTTAAGTGTTTTAGTTTCATTGTCGGACCCCTGGATGTCAGATAATCTAATAATCCATATCTAGAATATATGACGTCATATTAAAAATACTTAGCAAAATCACAGCTGGCTTCTTTGTGTTCCTTATTTAATTGAATTGTTTACTTGCTGCATCGCTTCGGTTTTTGTTCTCACTCTCTGATTCACTGCTGAATAACCATCAGATCGATCTCTTGCGGCCCATTTACACAGGGTTCAGCGTCAACGCTTGACAGAGGGGGTGTCTGAAGTTGGGGCTGCTGCGATCGTAATAGCAGTGTCAGCCAATGAACTTAGTCAGCAATCTGTTGTCTTGAGCTGGTGTATTTGTACACAGCAATTTGATTGGCTGACGCTTCCTTTAACATTTAAAAAGTTGAGAAAGTCCCAACTTCTGCAGTTAGCAATGCCTCTGAAAGCGGCGCTGATGGATCCACAATGTAGTTCAGCAACGTCTGACGCCACCCATTCAAAGAAAATGGGAAGCACTGAAGCTGATGCCCCGTGTGAATGGGGCGTTGAGCCTATGGCTGATTCGACATGCTAAATTGAGCCAACAAGCTTTGACGTTAAACCGACAAGCAGCGACATGTGGAACACACCAAACCAACTAGCTGGACCGGACTTGGTGTGTCCCGGCTTTAACACGCAATTTAAATTCCAGAAATATCGTAAGCATTGCCCCTTGAAACACCCCTAAAAGTGTGTTTTCCAGCTCCCAAAATGCAGTTGTTATCATGTAAAGATACCCTAACTCACAAAATGTTCATTTTGGGTGAGCTATTTCTTTTAATACCGATGCAGTCTTGTGTCTCTCAGTTTTTTTTAATGTTTGAAATGTTACAAGGCCCACCAGGAGTTTATATTATACAGCAACACTCCTGGAATCTGAAAACCACCAAAGCCCAAGTTAAAAAATAAAAATAAAAAAGAATGATCAGAACAGAAAGTAGTTCTGCTACCCAGCTTTCTATAACCTTACCAGTCAAACATGCTGCACTGGATACGCCATAAATCAAAGAGCACCTGAGCTCCAAACCTTCCTACAGCAGAAACCTCGTCCTCAAGGACAGTCTTACAGAAGCCGTCTCTGAGGAGGAATGTAGGCATTCAGGTCTGTGCAGGAAAAAAATAATAAAACATCCTTAAAACAAGACGCAAGGATAAAGTGAAAGTCAGAGTCACCCCTGCAAACCCTCGCTTCCGCATGCAGAGATGGCGTCATCAATAATAAACGTGCATTTTTCGGACCATTCTGCCATCTTAAAAAAACTCCCACTATGCCACGCTCTCAAATCTGCAGTGACTAAATGCAGCATGAATGTTGAAGGAATAGTTCAACCAAACTGGAGGCCCCGATATAGTTCAAGTTGACTGGACATGATTTCAAACAAAACCGAGCCAAAGGGAAGTTAGTTTGGAGTTTGAAATCGCTTGTCAATGACTAAGCTCTGGCTGGTAAACCAACATTTATATAATAGGTAGGTGTGAATATTCTCAGCTACGATCACATCACAACAATGTATGCAAAACTGTATTAACGTTTCACGTTTACACGGCAACGTTTTCAAAATGATCCATGTTTATATGGACATATGTTTACACGTTCTCCGGCCTCCAGTGCCTAGACTGGAACTCTGGGCAAGTAGTTTGACCAGAGGAGAAAGGGTCATGCCCTAATTGAGCCTGGTTTCTCTTAAGGTTTTTTCCTTCACTTTGATAATTGGTGAAGTTTTGTTCCTCGCCGCTGTCGCCACTGGCTTGCGTGGTTTGGGACATGTGGAGTTGCGCATCGATAGATTTACTCTTCAGTGTTTTGACCTTCAGCAGTGAAATTTAAACTTAACTGAACTGGACTAGCACAGTCTCAATTTACTATAATCTTCTATGTTAAGCTGCTTTTACACAATCTACATTGTAAAAGTGCTATATAAGTAAAGATTAATTGAATTGACTATTTAAAAACAACCAAAAACGTAGAATTTAAAGTGCGTGTAAGATATGTCACCATTATTGGTTGTACATCCATGTGAAGCAAATTCCAACTTTGCCGAAGAAATGTTACATAAGTTGCAACTGTCATGGTAAATACATAAGTTGCAACTTCGCCATTGTTGTGTGTTTGCACTTCCCTATGTACACGCATGATGTCACTGATTTCAAAGACTCGTTTTTGAGTGTTTACTCGAACAAAAAAATGGCAGCATTTCTGAAAACTTTGCAACTATTTTAGATGTTTTAGTCACAAAAATGCTATTATCGTGTAAACCAGAGGTCCTCAACCACTGGACCGTATTCAATACCAGTCCGTGGATAAATTGGCACCTGAACGTACAAGAAATCATTAATTTCGTTTTATTTATTATCTGAGTCTAAAAGATCTTTATTTTAAACAGTCTTTTATTTTGAAAAATGACTGTATTCTCTGGGTTACATCTAAGTCACCTGAGTGCCCAAATTTATCCCACAATGAGCAAAATTTGTAAGAAACAGACGTTTTTGGAAAGTTTCTTTGCAAACGGGAAAAGGCCTAGTGAGAGACCCACGAACTACCAAAAAATTGGATCTGCAACCCATCTGTCAACAAATCAGGTGAATATACCATGGCTGTGCAAGAAGATCAACTGATGGAGATTGCAAATGACGGCAATTTTTAACAGCCATTTAAGGGCTGTTTGCATTACATGTAATTTTTTGTGCAAATTTGTTTTTTCCAATGGAGGCTTGCGTGCACAAGAGTAGTGACATGCTCACGCCTTCCAAACGCAACCAGTTGAATGAATTCCACGAGCGCACAGTGAGTCATGTGACAAGAATTGACTGATCAGCTTCATACTTTGTATGCAATATACACATTTCTGTAGACTAATTATCTCAGACAAACACAGAACACCCAAACACTGCAGTGCTTTGCAATTTTTTCTATAAGTAAAACTTGTATCAGAGTGACAGAATTGTTTTGTCAGCTTGTCATTCTCTGAGAAAAGGGTTGATGGTCAACCTACGAAACACCCCTCCCCCGGTCCGTGGGAAAATTGTCAAGCGTTGACCGGTCCACGGTGCTAAAAAAGTTGAAGACCACTGGTGTAAACAATTTTTTTTTTGTGGAAAACGTTGTCGTTAAACATCTTCTATTGAAGTCAAACAAACATTGAAGTGCTTCATTTACAGTAAAATGTAAAATAATCATCGTAATTTGAAGTAGTTTTTCATACTTAATACTATAGTCAATGTTATTAAAGCGATTTAGAGTGTAGCTGCGTTCCAAATGGCACACTATACAGTATGCACTTCTATGCTATGTACTTATGCACTTACAAAATCAACAGCATAGTATATTAGTTTAGTGTAGTCCCAAATGGAACACTAATGATTTTTTTGATAAGTGGAAATTCAAACCATTGTCAAACCACGATGACATTTGACGGGTCCCAAATTACTGAAATAAGTGACCAAACTACCAAATAATACAAGCCATGAGTAGGGCCAGACAGAATCTGCGGACGTTTTTTGCTATTTCTGCAAAGAATTTTGGTAAAAATCTGCAGATTTCTGAGGAATTATTTTGGGAGTATCCAGCGGAGTATCATAACTTACACTTTAATATATTAAATAAAAAGTAATACATTACTAAATAAAAACTGAATAAATTCCGATTTACACATTTACTCAAGTAAATAAACAGAATTTATAATGGGCTAAAAAACTTCAGAAATCTGCGGAATTCTGCGGAAAATCTGTGGAAAATCTGCGGAATTCTGAGCGCGCAGATTCCGTGTGGGCCTAGCCATGAGTATAACCGTGGTATAATCACTCTCGTAGGAGAATTTTGCTTTCACAAGCCAAAATAAACAAAATAATCCAACATCAGAGTTCGAAAGTTCCGCCTCTTCTGCTATGTGAGCAAAGCTGTGATCATTAAGTTCGTACAACAATTGAATAAGTGCATCTTCTGGGTATTTAGAGTGCACTTATTATTTTTATAATAAGCACTACCTACTCAAATAGAGCATACATATGCATTTTGGGATGCACCTTATGTGTATGCAGTGTTATGAACGTGATATATTCACATTGTTAATGTTTTTGTATATTTGTTTTTAACAGGAAAGTGAAAACCGTAATACCAATTCACCTTAACGTCAACCTCAGCAGTATACTGTAGAGATTGGGATGTTGATGATCAAATCGCGACAACGGTATTTACGTTTTTTTATTGTAGACCGAAGCGAAGAATGGAGAACAACTTTGAGCACATCGGGGCATTTACTCTCCTCCATGTCATATCAAAAGGATAATGACTCCAGGTTAGGTCGGTTTCTCTTGCAAAGATTTATCTGACGTGGAATAAAGTAATGCAAACTTTTATGGAGTGAAATATTTGGCTGCACTATTCCTTCAACAGAAGTTTATCATCTCGATCGCATCAGCAGATCAGGCTCTCTAGGAAATCTGCAATTCAAGTGATCCATGCGGTTTAAAGTCAATACAGCGTAGAAACGTAAAAATGAAGTAGGGCTTCTAAAATGGTCCATCGCAGGCCCAGCTAAAGGGCTTTCATTGAGCGCAATTCGCAACATGCATTTAAGACCTCTGTGAAATTCAAACAGCAACAACACATCATTTAATAACATCAATGCACTTCGGTTGCATCCATTTTCCAATTAACCACTCGGGAATACAGTTGCTCATATGCAAAAAAAAAAAAGTTCAAGTTTCCCTCCGAGGTCAAATTAAAAATCGACTAGAAAAACGGCGCACGCTAACTCTACACTAAAGTCCTGACAAAATAAGTCTATCTAAAGGGATCATGCTGTATTAGTTATGACCTACGCGATAGAATTTCTTCCCCTTTTTAAAATCCGGAGGGAACGGAATAAAAAATAGAAATATGCTAATGGTTTTGCATATCAAGAAGAACCATGCTCAAAAAAGGTGAGCCAGCGTTTTTGGATAGGCTGGACCAGGAAACCTTCAGACCCGTGCGTACAGATGTGTGGTCGACCTTTAGCCACGTAACGTGCACATTTACGGCATCAAGGTTTTGTCGGCACCACTCTCTCTTACGGAAAGGAACTAAAAGAAACTAAAAAAACACACTTTTTTCCAGTTACAAATGACATTACGTCCTGTTATCAGCTGAAGGCTAATACCGCTAACTTCAAAACAAACGTACGTTAGATGACAATCTGCTTCTAGATTACAAATTAAAAAGGCAGAGTCATGATTCACACAAAGAGAGCAAAATGACAGACACTAAAGGGCTCTTGGTTTGTCTGAGAACAAACAGCATCGCACACACACTTGCACGCGCACACACACACACTCTCTCGCACATCAAGTGAAGTATTAACAGCTGGTTGTTGTCATGTCCTGGTCTTTTTGTGTTCCCTCTTCAAGAGTTCAGTGAGAACTGGTCCTGTTCTATGGGTTTTTTCACCCAGGCTCCCAGGCCGGCTTTGTGAAAGGCCTTGATGAGCGTTTGCTTCGCCGTGTGATACTCCACTGCTGCTTGTTTGGCTTCATGGTACGAGCTGGGCTTGGGCACTTTGATTCGCAGAGTTGGTGAGAGCTGAGGAGACAAAAACAAACAAACAAAAAAACAGATAAACAATAGATCATGTGTTTGGTGAGTTTTAGGTGTTTGCTAGAAGTGCCATGACCACAGAGAGTCAGGAGCTCTGGAAGTCCAAAAGACGGTGCTAACTAACAGTATAGTGTCCCGTTTACTATACTGCGGCGTTTGGACTTACACAGACCACAGGTTGTGCGCCCCCTGCTGGCCTCTCTAACACTACTTCAAACAGCAACCTAGTTTTTCTATGTGGTCTCCCATCCAGGTATTGACCAGGCTCAGCCCTGCTTAGCTTCAGCAAGTAACCAGTCCTGGACTGCAGGGTGATATGGCTGTACCTTTGAGTGTAGTCTGACCCAGCGGCTGTAGAGAGCGTGTTTGCAGAGTCGTGATGCTCTGCCCATGTCATCTTTGCCTGTGGTGGCATTAATGACTTCTAGAGCCTGATCTCCCACCGTCCAGTTCACGCTGAAGTTTGGTGCCTTTCCTGGCTGACGGGCCTCAGCGTTACTGATTCCTGCAAACACACAAACACACACTCATTAAGCACAAAACAAAACCCAAACACGGCCTTGGCCAGCTTCGCTTTTCTGCATGAATAATGCATCAAGTCTGCCCCTTTTTATGCAGATTACTTAATATGAGACAATTTCCGAAAAAATAGGATGAAATGTATTTTAATAAACTGTGTTCAAGGTAGTTTATGAGGTCCATGATGTTTCCACTAACTTTTTATTCATTTTAAGAGGATTTTAAAGGATTATTATAAACAATATATATCTATATTTATATAAGGATATACAGTTAAAGTCAAAATTATTAGCCCTGCTGAATTATTAGCCCCCCTGTATATTTTCCCAGAGTTCATCAAGATTGTTTGGAGTCATCTTCAATGCCTCCTCCTTCATCTTACCCCAGACAAGCTCAATAATGTTTATGTCTGGTGACTGCGATAGCCAATCCTGGAGCACCTCGACCTTCTTTGCTTTCAGGAACTTTGATGTGAAGGCTGAAGCATGAGAAGGAGCGCTATCCTGCTGAAGAATTTGCCCTCTCCTGTGGTTTGTAATGTAATGGGCAGCACAAATGTCTTGATACCTCAGGCTGTTGATGCTGCTATTGACTCTGCAGATCTCTCACAAGCCCCCATTCTGAATGTAAGCCCAAACCCTGATTTTTCCTTCACCAAACTTGACTGATTTCTGTGAGAATCTTGGCTCCATGTGGGTTCCAATAGGTTTTCTGCAGTATTTGTGATGATCAAGATGCAGTTCAACAGATGACTCATCTGAAATATCTGCCTTCTGCCACTTTTCCATATGATCAACTAGAAGTCAAATTATTCTTTTTTGCTCTTACAACTGGGATTGATGACAAGACTTTTGTCAGGTAGTTTATTTTTCAGTATAAAGTGGTCTTCATAAACAAAAATATGGCTTGTGAGGGGGGTGGGTTTCTGTTAGTTTGTTTTTGTCTTTCTTTTTTTTGTATATTAATATGTGGACAAAATATGTAAAACTGAAAATCCTTCTTCCTGAATCTCTGTCTTAAATAAAACTTATTTGACAAAAATAAATAAATAAATAAAAATTAATGTTTGTAAACTTTCGGTAGTGTAAGAATCTGTACCATTTTGTGAATGCAAAAGAATATATAATATTAGCTATTGAGTAAATGGCTCATTAACGATATGCATTACCTCTACCTGCAGACTTCGTGGACAGAGTTGACAGATGTAGAAGTGTCACTCTTTTAAACTAGTGTTATGAAGCACAGGTCGAGTATGTGATGCTTCAACCTCCCACTGCACATCATCAAATGGAGATTTCAGCAGTAAGTCATTAAAAGCTAGATCTGCAGGAAATCTGATGTAACTCGCTGCAAAAGCAGTGCTGGGTGTCTCTCATGAGGCACAAAACAATGGGAGAAAGTATATTCACCATGTACTCAACTCACTGTATATTCTTCTCCAAAAGCAGAAGACATTTCCCTGATGACGATGAGGATTTAATGAGGAAATCTTAGTGTCTGCTTACATCCAGTGTTGAGCGGAAACTTGTAAAAGTTGTGCTTTTAGTAGCTTAACTATAGTCGACTTATAAAAAAAAAAAAAATCTTTTTCACATTAACCTGATGAAAACGCTACAAATGCCATCTGAATCTGCCCAGTCGTGATTGTAGCATTGGAACATTTGATTAATTCAGATAAATGTTTGTATTATTATTACTTTGGGGGGAAACAAAACAAAACTGGATGGGCCTAAAAATACAGTTGAATATATGTAAAGTTATTATAATAGTTCTGATCATTAGTATTTTTCAGAAATATAATCTCTGCTAATTAAATTTTTCCTTCTGCAATTCTGGCTAGGCACAATTACAAGTTTAAACTGAAAAATTCTGAGTGTACTGTATATTGGTAATTTTTGAGTGTATATTTAGACATTCTGAATTTATATCTGTCAATTTTTCACTCAAAACAATATTTTGTGTTGCTTGTTGAAACTACTTTAAAATGAGCTGAAACACAATTCTTGAGATTTCGTTTGGACAACTTAATAGTTTTATATTCAATCTACTTAAATTTGTAAAAACTATTAATCTAATTTAACTTAATTCCTCCAGGTTGTCCCAAATCAAACAGATTGTGTGAAACAGTGTACGTTCTAACAATATTTGGTAACACTTTAGTTTGTCACAATTCACACTATTAACAAACAATTAACTAGCACTACTAGCTTAATAAACTACCTATTAGCCTTTTATTAATCGCTAGTAGGGTAGAAGTTTGGTTTGGGCTTTGGGTAGGATTTGGCATGCAGAATAAGATCATACTTTATAACTACTAATGAACAGTTAATAACTTAATAATAGGCAGGTTATAAGCCAGTAGTTAATAGCATGAATTGTGACCTAAACTAAAGTGTTACCCAATATTTTATACTATTTAATTGATATGCAGCAATTCTTAGCACAATTCCATGTTTAAATCTAACAATTCTGAGTTTACATAAGCCAATTTAGAGTTTATATTTGGACATTCTGAATTTATATCTGTCAATTCTTACATTTGTAATATTATTTAATTTATATTCAGCAATTCTTAGCATAATTCCAAGTTTAAACAGAGCAATTCTGAGTTAATATCGGACATTTATCAATTTATACCAGGCAGTTCTGACCTCTTACATTTTTTTAAACGTATATCATTTCGTTTATATCCAGCAATTCTTACTTTACCTTAAACAAGCTTATATTTCTGAGTATATTTGTGGCATGTCTGGTTAAAATTCTTTGATTTATTTCATGCCATTATGAGTTTACATCTACCAATTCTTAGTTTACAAGTTTCAAACCGGACTTCTTGTAATTCTGAGTTTTTTTATTTGTGATGTCTCGCAAGACCATAACTCAAGATTTTGAGATACAATTCTTAGTTTGGAGAAAAAAAGTGCTGTTAATTAAGAGACGTTAACATGAAACTATAAGATATAGGCTGCGTCCGAAACCGCCTACTACTCAGTAGGTACTGTGTTTGAATTTAAACGTACTACTCGGTCGATAGAAAAGTACGTGCTATACAGTATGAATGTGAAAAGTATGAATGGAATTCGGACGTACTACATTCGCCATTTTGTCATGGTCACGTGACCTACCTGCGTCAATTGCGTCGCTTCACTTCCATTCATGAATTCTCTTGTAGGGCATTATGGGATAGCGCAGCGTGCATGGGATGCGCACTCCAGAATCTCGCCGGAAGTAGTCATCCGGGTACTTCTCGCATACTGATTTTCGAATTCTATGAATTCGCTCATACTACTCAGCTCGCATACTGATTTTAGCATACTATATAGTATGGAAGTATGCGGTTTCGGACACAGCCATAAACTCTCAAATTGTAGGAGAAAAATCTCAATGATGTCAATTTCATTATTTTCCATGGTGGAAATGAGCTTCCAAACACAATTCCAAGTTTAAATCGTGTAATTCTGAAATTTGTCCAGATCACTCTCGGGATTTAGCATGGTAATAAATATGTATATGGCAATGTTGATGTATTTGGTCTTGGCGGTATAGATCTGCTACTCTGCTGTTGCTGCTTTGATTATCATGGCAGAGCAAGTTCCGAGACCTGCTACTGTCAGTATATACATAGACATGACGTATAGAATACAACACGCTACTGCTGCAAATATAATATAAATGTAACCCCTGTAGCAGATCTGAACAAAGGTGGAGCTGGGGTTGAGGAGGGTCTCCGATATTCATTAAGATAGAACTCTTAGTTTGGAGAAAAAAAAGTGAGACATTAACATGCAACTATAAGACATAAACTCACAAAATGTTAGAGAAAAATGTAATCTATTCTTTTCTATGGGGGAAACAAGCGTGCATATTTCCCAGCCCCACTATACGCTTTTATCTGCTCTTTCTTTACAAATAAACCATGTATGAGGGATTGAGGGAAATCAGCAGGGGCCGTCTGGGATTTACGGCACACTATGAATTACGGAAACAGGCTGCCGGTGTGAGATGGAGAGCAGGGTCCATCTAAATTCCAGTAATTCATCAAAGCAGGAGGAAATTGAAGGCGAGTGTGAGGGAGAAAATTGCCCGTCCGGTAAATGATAATACAGTTTGACATGCTGCCATTTCCAATGATTTGGGAGTGTAAATGCGATGTTGTCTCACCGCTGAGCAGGGGCCGGTTGAGGGAGAATTGCTGCGGCAGGTCTTCGATGTCTGCGATGCGCTGGTACATTGCTCTGGACAGATGATCTGCGTGATACAGGCTGCCCAGGATGATGCTGGAGAAGTAGATGGGCTCGGAGAAGTAGCTCATCAGGGATCCCTGGATGCCCACCACGTTCCACCTGCACCCAAATACAAACAGGTAAACAACAAGTCAGAGCTTTGCTTCTTTAGGACAGAGGTTTCATATTGAGCATCGAGTGACAACCTTATAAAGCACAAATACTGTTCAACTGCTTAAAATCGGCTTTAGAATTTATTAACGTTGGTAAGCACTTAAAAGATCCAAAAGTATGCAAAAATAAAATTAAATAAATAAATATATAAACAAAAAAAATTATATATATATATATATATATATATATATATATATATATATATATATATATATATATATATATATATATATATATATATATATATATGATATGGCCTTATATCGACACTGGTGGGAGGTGTGCATTGTAGTGTCCTACCAGTTACAATATACAGCCATATCGCACTGCTACGAGTGTGATATTGAGTTTATACAACAGTTTGACGGCAAAATCGTGTTTATAAAAAAGAAAATTAAACAAAGAGAGGCTCAAAATTCTTTTGTATGAAGAACTACTTTCTTTTGCCATTCACTCACATCTACAGCTGACGTCAGAACAGAATAAACTGTTGCTACTTTGCAAACGTCCCTTTGGAGCTAGTATTTGAATGATTCTCTAGCATAATGTCTAAAGTGATGACAAAACGGGTGATTTTGCTCACATTTTAAGATTATAAGGCTGAACAACATGAAATGTCATCAGTCTAGAGACATTTCTCAGTATTTCTCTGTTGCAAACAGGAGATCACAATAATTATACTCGAAAAAGCCAATGCTGCGCGAACACTATTAGATTACTGCTGTGTTTGCGGACATCTGGCAGAAAGTTATGAGGTCATAAAGTTTGGTCCAACGTTAAGTCAATGGGACTTTTCCTAATTTTCTGAGTCAGTTTTCGGAAAACAGTTAATCGGATCAGTTGGAAAAGATATAGCAACCCGAGTCAAAACAGTTTGGAGGTTTGGAGTAAGTTTGGTGGTTGTAGTAGGAACGGTCTAGGAGGAAATGAATATAGAAATTAGTCTCAGAAAAAGAGAAAGACAGAAGAATTATAAGTTTATGTAGAATAACAGTTTGTTGGCTTTCTCAAGAAAAATTGACTGAACAGCAGTCTTGGTTAATCTGTTTTTTCTCTCTATAATGTAAAGCCAATAATGCATAAGCCAGAGGCTATGTATGAGAGAGTCTTACCTCTTACCCTCTTTATATATGTTGACGATGTCTGAGGGTGTCACCATACAAAATAAAAGCGCAGCTTTTCCTTTATCATGTCTTATTGCTCATCGTCATAAATTAAAATAGGAAAGCATGACAGCTGAGCGGGACTTCGCAAAATAAACCCTGAAACTCTGACCAATCAGAGAAGAGTTTACTCGCACGCGACTTGTTTTTAGCTATTTTGGTCCATTTAGAAACTTTGCCATGTAAACGCGAACCGCATCAAGAACAAAAATATACATTGTAACAATTTGAATCCGTGTTTCAGAACAAAAGAAAAGAATCGATCCACAGGTGTGAAAGCACCCCTTGGCACTAGACACACCAACCACATCATTATTGTACCAACTCCTCTTTACAAGAGTAAATCACGTTTTTTTAAGTAGAGTGCCTGAAGTATTTCCATCACTCTGACATAATGCATTCCTAATCTTGCACCATCTAAAACATCCGAAAAATTACCATGTAGATGAAGCTTATAAGACAATCAGGAACTACAAGAACACAAAACATGAAAGCCCACCCTCCCAAAAAATGCAATCTGGCCAGAAGCCCAGATGTGAATGATTTCCATCGGCTGGTATGAAAAGAAAGCACCAGTGGATAAAATTGTTCAATTAGCACTGTTCTTTCAAACGGGCTCATTTGCGCGTTTCCAGGTCTCAGACTTACCCACTGGGTCTCCATCCTCAATCAAAAGACCCAATCAAGTCGAAGTCTGCTCCGAAAACACCTGCTGGATGCAGCTGAGATCAAAAACCCAGACTCAAGTGATTGGACTTTCACTTCAGTTTGACCAATCAACAGCCACAGATGCCAAAAATACACAGTCCAGCTTCCCATTCTGTTAATGCAAATGCTCTGTTATCCAAGCATTAATCGACTTACTTAACTAAATATATATCTCAGAATGTGCATTTAAGATTTGAATCAGTTTGCAGTAATTTCGAGTTCGAGGGTTTGTTTGAATCAATAGGGCAGCTTAAGGTCTGTAAGCTCCACCCTTCTCTTCTCCACTCTACTCTGATTGGTTGGCTGGCCAGCTCTGTATTAATTGGTCATTTTGTATCTATTTCTGTCTAAGATAAAATATTTCAGAGTTTTCATATTCCACGGGGCAAATATACTACTTTAACCTCTTAAGGCCCGAGGTTTTTTTTAATTAGAATAAAAAACCTACGAATCATCTTTTGATATGATGTACTTTAAAAAAATGATGTTCATAAACAGTTTGTCAGAATTATTAGCCCCCCCTTTGATTTTTTTTCTCTTTTTTTTTTAGTTTTCCCAAAAATTTTTTACCAGAGCAAGGACATTTTCACAGTGTGCCTGATAACATTTTATTTCTTCTAGAGATAGTCTTCTTAGTTTTATTTCAGCCAGAAATAGAATAAAACCAGTTATTAATTTTTTAGAAACCATTTTATGGACAAATAATTAAGCTATTAATTATAGCTTTAAGCAAATTTTTTTTTCAATAGTCTACAGAACAAACCATCATTATACAATAACTTGGCTAACTTGGCTTGGCTAAACTATTATGTTTAGAAATGTGTTGAAAAAAATCTCAACGTTAAACAAAAAAAAAAATGGGGGAAAAAATAAACGAGGTCTAATAATTCAGAGTGGCTAATAATTCTGATTTCAAATGTATGTGGACTCTGTGGATAGAATTTCCATAAAAGACTTTTTCCTGACTTTTTTTATGCGTATTTAACATAGAATTTTTTTTTCTTGTTTTGACTATCAGAGAGAGTAAAACACAACATTTTTACCCATTTTGGACAGCTAAAAATAGCACATTTCATATGCTGCGAAACAGCTGCAGGATGACACTGTATGTCTGTAACAAAATATAAAGCATTCAAAGCATTTTAATTTATTCTAATTATTAATAGCCACTTAAGAGCTCAAATGTGCTGTCCATGTATGTGGAAACTCAAGCCCTAGGAGGTTAATCATGTTTGATGACAGGGAAAAGATTATAAAATATAATGTATGAGGTGATTCAGAGCAGACTCTTTCTTTTGAGAGACAGCATCTGTTTTTATCAGGTACTTTTTTTGATTAGACTGTTTAAACTAAAGGTCAGCTACGTTACAAACAGCTTTTTTTTTGAAAACTCCTGTTCTTTAAAGATTTAATGACATTACCCTGGAGATAATGCTTTTATTTGTGTGTAGAAACAGCTAGTTACTGAAATGGGTCCCACTTTACTTTAAGTGTCCTTAACTACTATGTACTTACATCAAAAAATAAATACTATTTACTTACTGTGTTTATAATGTATTTGTGAACACTTGTGGTGCTTTTGAGTTGGGATAGAGGTTGGGTTATGAACAGGCTTGGTGGCATGGGTAGGTTTAAGGGTGGGTTAAGGTGCAAGGGATAGTCAACAGTGTATTAACAAATGTAATTACAACAGTTAATTACAGATGTAATTACATAAATGTATTTAATCAAGCATAAGTACACAATAAATACATGTATTTACACAATAAGATTTTTTGTTGTTGTTACATTGTAACAAACTATTAATTCCTGTTTAAGTACATATTAGTTAATGCCCCTTAATATAAAGTGGGACCCTGAAATGTAATATTACACCAGAGAAATAAATTACAGACTAATTTTACAACAATGCCACAGCACTTATTTTGTATTTTACATTCAATGAATTCATCTATTTTAAGCCTACAGTAAATGACACTCATTCAAATGTGTCTATGTCTGTAGCCAAACACATAAATATAAGCAATAATATAAATGTACTACTACGGCTGCTTTAAATAGCGGGGAAAATAAGTATTGAACGTGTCACAATTTTTCTCAGAAAACATATTTTTAAAGCCACTATTGACTTAAAATATTCCCTGGATGTTGGTAGCAACCAAAGAAATCCATATATGCAAAAAAACCTAATCTAATTAATTTACAAATTAAGCTGTGCATAATAAAATGAAATGACATAGGGAAAAAGTATTGAACACATAAAGGGAAGGCGTAGAAAGGCAGTGAAAGCCCAGACAGCAGCTGAAATCTCTCAGTAGTTCTTCAGCAACTCTCTGCCCTTCCTCATTGTAAATGAATATTAGCTGCTTCAGTCCAACATCTACATTAGCAGGATGATGAAGATGAAACCAGGGTGGACATTTCAGAAGTAAAATAATCCAAAACAAAGTAAAGAAAACCCTCAAGTGCTTTCAGGGAAAGAAAATCAAGCTGCAGAATGGTCCAGTCAATCACCTGACTTGAATGCAATGGGAAATACAAATTAAAGATTTGATATACGAAACCCACAGAACCATGAAGATTTTTACACTCTGTTGAAGTCTGTGAAACAAATCACACCTGAGCAATGCATGTGACTTCATTCTCCATATGAGGCGTCTTTAAGCTGCCATCATCAAAAAAAGCCTTTTATATAATAGTAGTAAATTATATATATTTAATATAAAATTATATATATTTAGTATTAAATACATTTTAGTAGTTCAGTTTCTCTTTTTGTCATTTCATAGTGTTTATTCTTATGTTTTTATTGTTTAGGTTTTTTGTTTCACTGATATATATACACACACACACGCACGCACACACAATTGAATTTAGAATTATTAGCTCCCCTTTGAATGTTTTTCTTATTTTCAAATATTTTCCAAATAATGTTCAACTAATTATACAGACTTCAACTGTGTGTGTGTGTATGTATATATATATATATATATATATATATATATATATATATATATATATATATATATATATATATATATATACACATATATATATACACATATATATATATAT